AAAAAAAATTTTTTTAAATATTTTATTTATTTACTTGTTACAGGGTTTTGCTACTGGTGCAGGATCTCACTACACAGCTCAGATTCATAGTAATTCTCCTGTCTCAGCCTCCGAGTGCTGGGATCACAGGTGTGTGCCACCATGCCCAGTTTTTGTGGCCTGCATAGTGCAGAGCTGGCTCGGCATGCGGTACCAGGGATTGAACCCAGGGCCTTGGGCTTGCCAGGCAGGTGCTTAGACCACCGAGCTATCTCCCTGGCCCTGGAAATCTAAGCTTTCTAAAGCACATTTTGTTACTTAAGCTACAGTAAAAATTGCGTGATAGTTAGTTCAGAGAATTCCTTGTTAATATAACCTCACTCCAGCATTTTTCCTGGAAGTTTTAATGGTTTGAGCTCTCAGATATAGGCTTTGATCCATTTTAAATTGATTTCGGTGTACAAAGTAGATTAGGGTTCAACTTCACTCTTTTGTATAGAGCTTTCCAATTTTCACTACTTGTTGAAAGTGATGATACTCTTCTCGTTGAATGATCCTGGCAACCTTCTTAAAAATAATCTGACCATGAATATAAAGGCTTATTTTTAGACTTTCATTTCCAATTCATTAAATCTGAAGGTCTTTCTTCACATCAGTGCTACATTATCTTCATTGCCATAACTTTGTAGTATGTTTGAAATTGGGAAGTGTAAGCTCCCTGACTGTTTTGTTTTTTTTTTTTAGTATTCTTTTGGCTGTTTATATTCCCTTGAATTTCTATATCAATCTTAAGATTACCTTTTCAATTTCTGCAAAATGACAGCTAGAATTTGAGAGGGGTTTTGTTGAATTGTGTGCATTGATCTGGGGCACATTGCCACGTTAAAGGTTATTAAGCCTGGGTCCGGGAGATAGCTCAGTGGCTTAAGCATCTGCCTGGCAGGCACAAAGTCTCAAGTTTTATCTCTAGTACTGCAAAAAGCAAAACAAAACAATATTAAGTCAATACTATTAAACCTAGGGTACTTACTCTCCATCTCTTTGGAATTTCTTTAATTTATTCCTGTTACTCTTAGTAATTTTCAGTGTACAAATCCTGTATTTTTTGGTTAAATTTATTTCAGTGAATGGTATTCTTTGGACATTCCTCTTCCCACCTTCCTATATGTTTAAGGACTTTATTATCTTAAGAACATTGAGTTAGTCATTGATCTACAATAAGGTAGGAAAGGAAAGATGGTAAAAATGACAGTAACATGTTAAGTGATTAAACTTACAAAAAATATCATCATAGAGAAAAGAGCCTTTTATTACCTTTGTATTTTTAGCCATGCTCATTATTAAACTATTTCATATGAAGGAAGAAAAGTAACATTTATACCAAACCCCAGTAGGGTGGCCCTTTGTATATACAGACATGCTTTTTGGCTTGTGATAAGGTTTCATCTATACAAACTCATTTTTAAAAGTATCATAAGTTGAAAATGTACTTAATAACAACTTAGCCTAGCCTACCTTAGCTATGCTGAAAACATTACACTGGACTAGAGTTGGGCAAAATCATTTAATAGCCCATGTTTTATAAGAAAGTGTTAAATATTTTATTAACTCACTGAATTCTCTACTGACAGCAAAAAGCAATATGTAGTCATATGGATGTGCGTTTACACTATGGTGAAGTATAAGTCTTAGTCTCCGGGGATCTTATATCAGGATCCCACAAGCTCTCATTTTACCTGTGCAAACAGGCGTGGATATTATAAAATTTCAATCCTTAACTTAATCATTAATCCTTAGGTTACTTTCTTAAAAAGTAAGATGATAAGTTCTAAACTTTTTCAAGATGTATTTTTTTTGGGGGGGATTTCAATGCATTATATAAAATGTGGGTTTATTTTAATTCAAAAGACAGATAATATTCTGAGGAAATGCCTTTTTGAAAACTATGTAGAGGGAAAAAAAAAAACAATTTCTGGAAACTAGACCTTAAAAACAGACTACCTTGGAAGAAATGTCAGCAATAAACACTTGGCAGTGATCAGCCCTATTTGAGTTCGTTAGCTGTGCAACCCCTCCCTACTCTAGCTCTAGGCTTCAACCCTAAACTACTTTGTATTTCTTCTTTAGACTTACCTGAGAAACTTTATAAAACATTTTACTTAGCATAATATGCCAGGCTCAAAATTCATTTATTTGATTATAATCACTCTACCCAATGACATAGGAAATTGTGTTTTTCTCAGGACTTGGACTGAAGTCTGATGACCTTCCCAACCAGATGAGCCAGGCAGATTGGCCAGAAATGAAGAAGAAATTTGCAGATGTTTTTGCCAAGAAGACCAAGGCAGAGTGGTGCCAGATCTTTGAAGGCACAGATGCTTGTGTGACCCCAGTGCTGACGTTGGAAGAAGCTGTACATCAAAATCACAACGGAGAACGGGGTTCATTCATCACCGATGAGGAGCAGCATGTGAGTCCTCGCCCTGCACCTCTGCTGTCACGCACCCCGGCTGTCCCTTCTACCCGAAGGGACCCATTCATAGGAGAGCATAGTAAAGAGATACTTAGAGAATTTGGCTTTAACCAGGAAGAAATTGATGAGCTGTACTCAGAGGGCATTATTGAAAGTAGGAAGCCAAAATCCAATCTCTAACTTCTAGGCTCAGAGCTCAATGGAATTTGGTTGTTTCCACATTGGACAATAATTCAGAAAGAAGGATACACGGAAATGTGAAAGAACGCTAATGCAGTGACCCATCTGACCTAATCTTGAAACAGCTACAGAATGATTACACTGTAATTCTCTTTTGGAAATGATTCAGAGTGTTTGATTGAGTTATTTTTTGGGAACTTATATTAGCTAATGGCAGTATTTTTTGTCTTTCAGTTTACTTCATAAAATATATTTGTTGACATTGAAATACTTTATACTTTTACTATATTTTAAATGAATAAAATGTATTAAATAAATATAATGTGCTTTCATTTTTAAAGATAATTAAAAATAGAAAAAAAGTAGAAACATTGCAGAATTTCATTAAACAAAATAACAGGAATTCAATAACGGTTGTTGTAGTACATATTGTTATCTTCAAATTAGTTGTTCAGATTACCAGATGTAAGCATGCAAAATTGGTCAAAATTTTAAAAAATTGAAAAGGAGAAAAAGTTTTGATCGTTAACTGTTCCTTTCAATAGACCAACAGTAATCAGCTGTGCAATTAACCAAACTATCCCGTATATATACATAAATAGACATTTTTCACTTTCATCTTTCTTTCCTTTGTCCTTTTCCTCATGCCAGTTGTACCTTTTAGAATAGTTTCTTTCCCTTTCACAGTATCTGTTGCACTTTTCAGATTTTATTTATTCATTCACATTCTTACCCTAGTGAGACAATACAATACTTGCAAATGAGGGCTTGATTTATTTCAATTACCAGTATGGTTTCTAGTTGCATCCATTTACCAATAAAACACAAGTTTATCATCTTTATAGCTGAATAATACTCTATTTTGTAAAACTACCAAATCTGTTTTATTCTCTCCTCAGTTTGTAGGCATTTGGGTTGTTTCCAAGATGTACCTATGACAAATTGCACTGCTATGAACAGGGGTGAACACATGTAAGTGGTATGATGTTCTCAACTTGTCAGGAAAAATAGACAGGAGTAGAAGAGCTGGATTCTTTTTTTATATTAATTTTATTGAGAAAGAAGTAGCAATGAGATTGTTTCAGAACAGGTCAGTAGGACAGTTACAATAAGTAATATATTGCATATTGTTGTCTTCGTAGTAGTTATTCATAGTACAAGATGCAGACACAATATGTTGTCTAAACACTATTAGTTCAAAACTTTCTTCTCATTGAGCTAAGAGAAAGTATCTGTATATCTATGCTATTTTGTATATACAGATATATACATATATATTTTTCACTACAAAATGGTCCTTCATTTATATCCCCCTTTTTGTTTACTTTTGTCAGAGATGGGTATTGGATTGCCATTCATATATTGTAGGTTCATGACTTCAGCAGTAATCCAATATAGTCCAGTAGTCTATAATAATAGAGGATTATTGGCAGGACTGGCAATGTCAGAAGTTGTTGACTTGAGCCTTTCACAGCTCAGTGTATTAATAAGGCTTTGTTTTTGTACCTCATTTTTATACTTTTCTGCTGGATGGTTAAGACCAAGATAAAGCAAGACCTATATAACAAGAAATGTAACTTTTCTATCTGACAAGGTCAGTCAAATCCCCTCAGGATTTACCCTGCAACCCTGTACAGCAGTTTTGTAGATATTTTGTCAGTATCAGTCATGTGGATGAGTCACGGCCATTGCTTGACCAATTTGCTCTCTGTGAAAGCCTGAGAAAATGTTTTCTCTCCATGTGACTCTCCTTGGGCATACTCTCCATCATCAATCACTTTCCTCTGTGGCCCCATAATCTCCTTGATCAGAAAATTTGGGACACCACTGAGTTACAGGATGTTATAGTACAGGTTCATTTATGTCCTAAGTCCTTGGAGGACTAGGGCCACAATGTTGGCTATCCATGCAGCCCTTCTTTTTCTCCAATTCTTTGGTCTGCAAACTTAAGTTGTTAACCCTCCAGAAGAGAAGCTTAATGATATTATTACCCTAAAACATAGGCTTTTGAGCTTAACATCAGTATCTGTCTGAATGTCAAACGCCTTAGATATAACAGGGAACAGGTATTTTCCATCAATCATTGATACGCTAAATTTTAAATACCTACAGAATGTGAAAAAAAATTAAGAAAATTTTTAAAAAATGGTAAAAAATAAACAATTCCAAATTTTAACACAAATTTAGAAATCTAACCATATACAATATTGTCGTTTTATATAGAACTGTTCTCTGACCTTTGATGTAGAGCTTTGGTGCAGTTATAACCTTAGCACCTACTGAAATTTTTATCCAAGAGAGATTATACAGTTAAGCCAGTTTTAGTTTTGTATTCATAGAACTACAATTAGGAACACTAATAATCAGTAGTGATATTTAGCAGCTGAGAAGTGTTTGTCACTAATGGGTTTGAATTTTTGACAATAAGAACAAACATTATGTCTGTGCAACTAAGCAGATATTTATTGGGAATTTGTATTATGTTAGTTCTCTTAAGTTCTATCTAATCACCTCCCCTTGATGTACCTAGGGTCTTCTAGGCGGAGTTGTTCACCCAGTTATCTGTTTTGCAAATCAAGAGCAAAAAATAGAGGATACTCTCATAGATCTGGATCCAGCAAAGTGTCTCAGCTTACTGGATCAGGATCTACCAACTTTGAACATGACCAGATGTTCCTGGCTTTGGTCTGGCTATTGTGCTCAGCTTCTTCCTGCTGCAGCTTATAGAGGTAAACCCACTGTGCCATTCTGGGAAGATGTTCAGCTCCTGGATTAGCTGGGTGAGTCTGTACCCTATCCTCTCTGAAGAGAGTTCTGCTGCAGGGTTCTGCAGGAGGCATGGTGCAGGGCCTGGGGTCTGGCTGGAAAGTAGTCTTGGGCACAGTGAGCAGGTGGAAGTTCCCACACTCATGCCAGACTTGGGGTCTGGCTGGAGAGGGGTCTTGTGTTTGGTGGTCAGGCAGAAATTCCCCCACATACTCTGGGCCTGGGGTCTGTCTGGGGAGGGCAGAATAGCTGGATTCAATGAAATTTCTAATTTTACTATTTTGAGGAGTCTCCACAATGATTTCCATAGTGTTTTACCAAACTACATTCCCGTCAACAGTGGAGAAGCATTCATTTTCCTAACAGATGCTCCAGCATTTGTTATTGGTTGACTTCTTGACAACAGCCATTTTTTTGGGCTGGTGAGATGGCTCAGTGGTCTAAAGCACCTACTTAGAACAAGCTTAGCAAAGTACAGGGACCACGGTTCAATCCCCCAGCACCACATGCCAGCCAGCTCCGCCCCCTGGTGGGCTGAGCTGGTCACACACACACACACACACACACACACACACACACACACACACAAATAATAAAAATAAATTTAAAAAAAATTTTAAAAAACAACCATTTTTTTCTGAGGTGAGATTGTTACCTTAGTTTGCATTTGTCAAATGACCAATAATGTTGAACTTTTTTTCATGTATTTTCATTTGAGTTTCTTCCTCTGAAATATGTGTATTCCTCTCAGATATGTGTATACATTTTTAGATTGGGTTTTTGAATTTTGGGAGCCTGATTTTTAAATTTTTTTTTTATGTGTTCTAGACAGAAGTCCTTTATCTGAGGGACAGGTGATTAAAACTTTTTCCCAATTTTTGAGCTTCTTTTTTACTCTACTGATAATTTCTTTTGATGTGCAGAAGCTGTTTGAAAAGATGAATTGCCAGTTGTCGATTCTTTGAAGTAGTTCCTGTGTAGCTTGGTTTTTGTCCATGAACTCTACTTAGTCTTATGTCTTCAAGAGTTCTATCTACTTTCTCTTGCAGTAGCCTTAGTGTTTCTATTTTAATATTTAAACTTTGGATCTATTGTGACGTTAGTTTAGTGCATGGTGATAGACATGGGTCTAATTTGAGACCAGCATATGGAAAGCCAGTTTTTATAGCACCATTTGTTAAAGAGGCTGTCTTTCTTATAGTGAACAGGTTTGGCCCCTTTGTCAAAGATAAGGTGGCTGAATTTGTTTGTATTTGAATTTTCTAATCTAGTCAATTGACTTCCAGGTCTTTTTCTTTAGAAGGTACCATGCTAATGTTATTACTGCACTTCCATAGTATATTTTAAAATCAAGGACTGTGATGCCTCCTGCCTTTCCTTTGTTACCCAGGATTGCTTTTGATATTCTTGGTCTCTTCTTTTACCAGTTAAATTTTAGAAATGTTTTTTTTCTAGATCTGTAAGGTATACTAATTGTGATTTAATAGTTATTGCATTGAATCGGTATAACAATTTTGGGATTATGACCATTTTTACAGTGTGGGTTCTTCATATACAGGTGCAAGGAATATTGTTCTATGTTCTGAAATCCTCTTCTGTCCTTTTTTTTCCAGAGTATTGTAATTTTCACTGTATAAATCTTTTACTTTCTTTGTTAGAGTGATGCCTAAGTATTTCATTTTTTTAGGTGTTACTGTGAAAGGCATGGTTCCCATAATTTCTCTCTCAGTGCATTTGTTTTTGTTTCTTATACACAGAAATGCTACTGATTTTTGAGTGTTAACTTTTGTCTTGCTATGATACTGAATTTGATTTTTAATTCTACAAGTCTCTTGCTGGAGTTTTTGTCGTCTTCTATGTACAGTATCATGTCATCTGCAAATAATGATAACTTCGCTTCTTTTCCAGTCTTTTATTCCTTTTATTTCTCTCTCTTTTCTAATTGCTCTGGCTAATGTTTTCACAACTGTATTGAATAGGAGTGGTGACCGTGGACATTCTTGTCTTGTTCCTGATTTTAGGTGAAGGCTTTCAGTTTTTGTCCATTTAATATGATGTTGGCTGTTGGCTTTTATCAGGCTGAGGTAGAGACCGTGTATTCCAATTTTCTGCAGGCTTTTTATTGTGAATGAATGTTAGACTTTGCCAAAAGCCTTTTCTGCATCTATCGAGATAATTATGGGAGTTTTGTCTTTGACTCTTTTTATGTGGTGTATTACATTTATTTATATACATATACCAAACTGTCCCTGCATTCCTGGGAATGAATCCCACTTGGTCGTGATGCATAATCTTATTTGCTGCATTCTGTTTGCTAGTACTTTATTGAGGATTTTTACATATGTTTTCATGAGGGAGATTGGCCTGTAGTTCTCTTTTTTTGGTTGGCTTCTTCTCTGGTTTTGGTTTCAGAGTAATACTTACCTCCCTAAATGAGTTTGGGAGAATTGCTTCTCTTTCAATTTCACTTAGAGTTTAGTAGAGTTGGCATTAGGTCATCTGTAAATTTCTTGTA